GTGTAACCCCTAATCATAACCCATGATGACCCCTATATACAAGGGCTATATTATACCGCATCCAAACTGAAGAATGTTAATATTGCAACTATCAACATAAATTGCAACAATTATAGAGATACTATGTATCATGGACTTATTAGCTTAAATGCAGTTGTAGTATCAACATAATAAACTGCTATGTGGACAATACATAAGTAGCTAATTACATATGACATAAGCTGCCAAATATGTAAAAACGGTGCTGGAACATATGTACCGTGGATCTATACGAGAGTTATTAAATTAAGTGGTCAAAACAGAACCTCTAGTACCAAGTTTTGTTGGCAAATAAAAATTGGCATGACACAGTTTCTGGTGCATGATAGGGGCCCATATGTGCGTGCCTGGCCATGATAGGGGCCCACAGTTTGTTTTTGTTAGAGTACGTGCTGCAGCTCACCGGTCAGTAAACAGGTTGTGCCAACAATGCAGACTGGCCCACTTGTCCCTATCTTCATAAATTAAAACTGGACTGCAGTAGCAGACTGCACCTCAATATAGGTAGCATGGATCTTATGGATTGTTGGTTTCCAAGAACTCTCGCATGAAATTTCGAGTGAGAGAGGCAACCGATGCATGATTTTTCAGTTCATTGGTTTTGCAACTTGACGAAAAAGGATGACCAGCCACATGTTCGTGTCCCAAAAGTGTGAACTCCAAGTCAGTTTCGCGTAACTTTTCTATTAAGAGACTCCTTTGCACAAATATTGATGGCCATCTATCAATCATTGTGCATCGGTAGCTCTGTATTCTGTCTGAAATCTCCTAGAATGAAGAAACACAGCAAATGTTTTCGTCATAAGATGGTGGTGGAAAGTATGAACTTAAGTCTGTATCGCATTTCTTTTCTAGTAACAAATACCTCCTCCCAAGATATAGTTAAATAGCATTGGCCATTTGTTAATATATAAATGAGCATTGGTAGCTGTGCATCTAGCCCCAGATCCTCTGCAAAGATTGCATACGAAGAAACAACAAATGTTTCCATAGAATTAGACGACTCAACAAAGACTCATAGTTTAAGATGGTGGTGAAAACTGAAGAGTGCATATAATTTTATGATTTTCAATAGCTTGTGCCATCTACGATAGAACACCATGATTATAGTAACTGATCACCACAATGATTAGGTGTCCATTGGGAAATGGTCTAAGCTGACATATCACTTTGGTTTGGCAGCACTAAAGGAAATAGGCAAATCGCATGGTGCTATTGCAAATCTGCGAAGACTACATGATGAAACAACAAACGTCTTTATAGATTTAGTTAGACCAGCCAACAAAGATACATAGTCAAGATGGTGGTGGAAACTGAAGACATTATTTGACAAGTTTCAATAGGTTGTGCCACACACGGCAAGTCACCAAGATTGCAGTACCTGATCATCACAATGATTAGAAATGCTAGGAAAATGGCTAGGCTCAAAAATCACTTCAATTTGGCAGCACAACAGATGAAAATATGCAAATCACATAGTGCTGCAGGCCTGCTGGGCACATAACCATTTGTTTTGTGCATATCTTTCGCAAGTATTAGCTGTGCTGTGAAATGATAAAATAAAATCCCACATCATCTGAAAACTTCCTAGCAGCTGGCCATTTTTGAGATGATGATCTTTTAAATCTTTGCTCTACAGAACTCACATTATCTTTTACTTCTCTACTATAGGCAAACCATATTATCAGATCAAGCAAGCAAAATTGTGGGATTAAAATTTCTCTAACTTTGATGTAGTTTAATGGAAATATATTAACATATAAAATACCAAACAAATGCACTATTACGATATATTTCGTGGTGGGTTTGATGAAACTAATTGATATTGTATATGGACCTATTATTTTTATAAATCTTGTCAAAGTTAGGGAAATTTAACAAATGACAAAACCAAAAGAACTTGCATTTCAGAATAGAGCTATTAATTTTTTGTAAACAGTTGTAATACCTACCGTTCCTAAAATAGTTCTATAGATGGACAACCCTTAAAATTCAAATTTTAGGGTGGTTCATTACAGAAAAAATCATACTTTTTCATTTGAATTTGGATGGAGACAAATTTTATATCAACATTGTATATCTAGACCAGTTTAAACATAGTAGTTGATAGTTTTCAATTTGGGATTGTTTAATGGCCCAAATGTACATTTTAAATTCAAATTTACCTGTTCAAAGGACCTCGGATGGCGGCATGCACTACGAAAATTATACTAGACAAGATCTAAAACTTTATAGTTTAAACCCTTTTATTTAAGATAATTTGGAGGCCTAAATAAAGATTTGCAAATTGAATACAAACGGATAGCATCCTATATGTAGAAATTGATTTTCAGGGACGGTCCATTGCACAAACTATTTTTAGGGCTGACCGGAATGACAATCATTTTTTAAGAAAATTATGGTGCCTCTATAAATAATCTCTATAGTAGTATTGAGAAAGATTCATGTTTTTTCAATGTCCTAAGAACGATTGCCATAAAACTTTGTAGTTTGATACAATTTTTTAAGCAACATATTTTGTCCTAGATGATTGATAGAAAAAAAAACAACCACAGCTGCTATATCAACTAAAGGACATGTCAGCTTACCTATGGATTGTTGAACACATAGTGCAAGAGGTACTCATCATTTATGTTTTCAAGGTCACATGTATAATTCATGATTTAGCACACAACGCACACTACAAGAACTGTTATATATATATTATTGCAGAACTAAGGAAAAGGCTCGAGACATTCTATTCATCATTACATAAAGACTCGAAGCTTTGTTTGCTCAACCTATGCTTACATGAAAATTGAAGGGAGTGAATATTGAGAAGTTTTGACATATAGAAGGCAATTTTCTGTTCATTGATACACCCTTCCTTCTTCCAGAAAGCTTCATTGATGTTCCAAACTATCGATGTTGAAGGAAGCTGAATAAACTGCGGAAACCACATTTCACTTCAATAAGAATGGCACATGAAACTTTGCATAATGGTCTGTAAAACACATCTTCATAGAATTTTGCTGTATGCTAGTCCCTTATTTTTAAAGTAGTATCTTTGAAAGAAGAAATCTAGATGAAATGCACTTCATCAATGCTGTTGTAATTGAAATTTACAAGCCTATACATGCATATGAAAGTTGCATCAATTTCATAATGCACGTTGACAGAGCTGCTTATGGTTTCAATTCCAACAGCAAGATTGGTTATATAAAGTGGAGACTGGGTCAAGTAGAAAAGAGTCACCTCATTTGTGTGTATTTTTGGATCACCTCATTTGTGTTTAATCAGTCAACACATAAAAAATTGATTTTAGGAGACTTCTATTTTTATTTACAGATAGAGTCATGGACATCCCCTGAAAATCTATTTTAGAGGGGCCATGTAAAACAACAGGCTGTGTAAATGTAGGCCCAAGGCCCATATATTGGCCTCTCCAGACCAGCCACTCCCTCAGACGCTACCTCTGCAAAATATCTCTTGATTATAATCCTCTGCACCACATAATAACTGATGATAATTCTTTTGCACATCTCTTACATGGAGTCTGATGTATGCCTGCTTCATACCTTGCTTGGCAGTGTTTCCAAAAGGATGCTACCTGGTAGAGCAAAGAAGATACCAAAACTCATCCCCTACCGTGGCTTCCTAAAACCTTAACCATGAATCATACATTAGGAATTTACTAGGACCATTATTCTATATACGCATACTTATCGCTATGAGCGCACGCGCACACCCTATTCTATGAGCTCCTTGAAAAGATTGGGTTGGACTCATAGATCTCGAGATTTACGAAATCACAACAGGCACCTCATTGATTATATATGGACACATCGCCTACCCCTAAAAATGGCACCGTTAAATTATGGATTAAGCTACGCTCATTTTGATTAGTAGCACGTGTATCTTATTAACCTACTAGTACATATTACTATATATCAGTAAGCTATGAAGTTCTAGGCCGGCCATGTTTTGGTCAATCGGAATGTCCATCCATGATGATGAGGCTCCTCTTTCATATTCATCAGCATGTCCTAAAGTTTATGTCAAAGTTCCACTGGCTCATGGATCTGTGCCATGGCCCAACCGTTCTGGCCTCACCCTCGGTGTCCCCTACCAGATCCAGCGTGCATGAGAGGAGCCTACTAGAAGCACTGGCTGGGGGTGGAGAGGGTGACGAGAAGGGGACCTGGAGCTCGGACGCCGAAGACCACAACCATACTGAAACTGCTCACCTTAATCCTGCTATGCGAGGACCCATCGCCGGCGTCACACAAGATCCTCATCGTCTCCACCGTTAGTAGGTTGGTGGCATCGTGAATGGCGAGCGGGGACGCCGTGGAGGCCAGCGAGCTCCGCCCTGGACTGTGTCTACGCAGTGCCAATCTCGCACGGCGAGAGCTCGAGCAACGACGGCGCTAAAGGAGATGCATGAGGCGAGCAGCCAGGGGCTGTTGCGTGGAGAAGACAGAAGATAATGAAACGGGAGCTAGTCTGCTTTTAATTTATCCCTTGCTTTGCTTGGTCCTGTTTTCATAGGATGCTGCGAGGGAGAGCAAAGAAGATACCAAACCGTTGCCCCCCCCCCCCTTCCCCCCTTCTACATTCCATGCCCTTTGCGCTTCGTTCCCCTAGGCTGATGAGGTGAGGCTCCTTCTATATATATCTATTTAACTCGTAGTATATCTACATATCGTTATATCAGCGAGCTAGCAAGTGCCGGCGGGGCGCTTCTTCTTTGGGTCCAACCGGAATGTCCGACAACGATGTTGAGCAACCTCCTGGAAATTCGTCAGCAGGTCCTACAATTTCGCTCAATTAATTCTTATATGAGTAAAAAAAATATGTGGAAAACCAGTTCGTCATTCATATTGATCCCTAGTAGCTAAGAAATGCATATATATGCAAGACAAGGTTCGGATGAACCCGTACGTATCGTTGGCCGGTATCGATCGACAATCGTCTGTCTAATGCATGCAGGGGCAGCTGCAGGGCCGCCAAGGCTGGGCAACGCCGAAAGAGTGCGGCTGGTGGCTCATTGCAACGACAAAGCGCCACTGGAGGAGAACAGGCAGCAGGTGCTGCTGGAGCTCACCGACACATCTTCCACTGCCGAACGATCCGGGCTGGACCTCGTGGCTGTCCTGGACGTCAGTGGAAGCATGGGGGGCTGGAAGCTGGAGAAGCTGAAGACGGCCATGAAGTTTGTCATCAGCAAGCTCAGCCCCATAGACCGCCTCTCCATCGTCTCCTTCTCCACCGAGGCCAAGAGGCTGTTCCACCTGCGCTCCATGACGGAGGCCACCAAGGCAGAGCTGACGGACATGGTCGAAAATCGTCTGAATGCCAGCGGATCCACCAACATGGAGGCCGGCCTCGAGACCGGCCTCAAGGTGCTCGGCGGCCGCCAGCACAAAGGGGGCCGCCGCGTGGCCGCCATCGTTCTCATGTCCGATGGCCAGCAGGGCCCTGGCGATGCTACTGTTGTCCCAATTGACGACGATGTGGGGGCTGTCTACACGTTCGGTTTTGGTGCAGACCAGGACTCCAAGGTACATGCACGCATGCATATATATCCGTCTCCATGCATCCACACTATTTAAGTTTATTGACGTGCACGACTGCGACTGCGTAGTGCCTATTCTAACGCGTGTTGCGGCCGCTCAGGTGCTGGAGGCGATTGCGAGAAACAGCCATGGAGGAACGTTCTATGACGTCGGGGACGGGGAGAGCCTTGCCGTTCATTTTTCGCAGATCATGGCCGGCCTCCTCAGCGTCGTGGTCCAGGACCTCCAGCTCACCGTGTGGGAAACCACAGGCCACTCCAGGATAGACGACAACAGGGTGGACGCCGGGTGCTACCCCAAGGACACCGACAACCGTGCCCGCTCGGTCACAGTAACATTCGGCTATCTCTACAGCGGGGAAGTGCGCAAGGTTATGGTTGACCTCCTTCTCCCTGCAGTCCAACGAGAGTACAGCGCGCCCGCCATCATCGCTCAATGCTCCTACAGGTAGCACATACTATCTTACTATCTTTCTATCACTAGGTAGAGGCCCCAACGGACGCAACACGTTAATATTCATTAGATACGCTAGAATTTTTTTTTAGAAATTTTCATAACATAATCAGAAACATCCAGTCTCGCTCGTAGTGGCCATTGAATCTATTGTAATTTATAGAAAAAATTACCCATCACTATCATTATAAAAATTAAAAAAAAATCCCTAATTTTACATCTAAATTAACTGCCTATGCTATTACGCAAGATAATTCAAAATAACCCCTAAATTTCTATACAAATTATACATATATATCATTATGAAAGATAATTCAAATTAATCCCACATCATTGTATCTAAATTACTTAATTTTGCCATTATGAAAGATAATTTAAAATAACCCTCTAACTTTACATCTAAATTACCCAATCTACCATTATGAATGATAATTTGAAAGACCTCCTAATTGTTTTACAAATTATCCATCTTTATCATTATAAAGGATAATGCAAAGTAACCTCTTAAATTTGGATTCAACCTATCCATGTATGTCATTATAAAAGATAGTATGAAGTAGTACCTCGATATTTGTATCTACTTGGCCGTTATAAACATAAACAAAGATATCTCTCAAATCTACATGTAAATAGTAATATATATATATATATATATATGTGAAATTATAGACTTCTGCAAATATGAAATTAAATAACCATAATGCTATGTTTCAGCATGCATACCAAGTGAACTTGTATATATTAAGATAAATATTTATTTTAATAGCTTATTAAGCATGAAAAATGTTCCTTTAACAAACCACATAGCAATAACACTCACAATTGACATTAATTTGTATTAATACTCCATGAAGTATAACCTATTCACCATTGATAATGATAGCTATTGGATCTATTCTATTTTTTAAATAATTACCCTCCTCTTCTATTAAGTAAAACAACATAAAGTAACCAATGACTCTATGTTTAAATTACTTACCTATGTCATTAAGAAATATGATCTAAAGTAGACCTAAATTTGCATCTAGTTACCCATATTCTCCTATTACGATTCATAGATAGTTTACGTAATCTAGTCTTCATCTCATTGTTAGAAAAATTAAATATCCCCTTAAATCTACATCTAAATTGTCAATTATTGTTTAGATAACAATAATAGAGTATATATACCCACTTCTACCAATAACCAATATTAATATATTAAGATTTGATTAAAGTAAGCATACACGTCATGTCACCAGGCACAAGTGATAAATATATATGTTATGTTTCATCATATAAAAATATTTCCTTCAAAACTCATAACTAATGATACAAATTATTTAAAACCATATTAATAACTATGACATACAATTTATATAGGTTGTTACTTTTGATATATTTATATATTTTAACTAAAATGTTTGACACGTCAAATTGATAATATAACTATAATTACACATATAATTTCTTGATATGAAAATTCAATCGTCTTACGAATCATGGGAGACCACTGGTGGCTCTATAATTTTCCAGCCCTCTAAGATTACTTTAGAGTAAAAAAATGATTATTACAACGCCTCAGTATTAAAATTCTAATGAGATTAGCACTGCTACTCCCATCTGAGATCTCGCTTCAAGATCTATCACTTATGTTAAGTGACACGGTGCAAGTTCGAAAAGATTTCTTATGATACTGTAGTATTTAAGAATGTACTATATGACCTAAAATTTTTTCTTAAAAAGTGCAAACATAGAGTTAATAAAAGATACAATAAGCACAAGAGTTTTAACTTAACTTGAGGATAAAAATAATCTGTAGCAGTCCATAAAAATAAAATTTGAAAAATCAAAATTCAGATTCATGATTTCATAAGATATATAATGCAACAAGAGCCACAATAGTTGATGGTAAGGTATCAGCTAATTGCATATTTAAAATACACAAAGGTACCTTGCAAAGAAAAAATGTGAATATAAATGAAAAAAGTATAGATGAGCCCTTGAAAACAAAATATTAAGAAACTTATGATAACTGGATATAGACTACGAGTATCTATTATGTTAGAAAATGAACAAATGAACAAAGAGAAAAAGCATACGATTTAATATAAATAATTCTTGATTAGTCTTATGTATTAAGTATTAAGTTAAGTAACACTTATATCTTTTAAAATTCTAGCCCGTGCCAGAGCACTGGTTGATGGGATAGTACTCTAGTAATAGTAATAGTAGTTCCGACTCCTAGTAATTTAAAGTGAATTGAACTTGTATTTGAATTTAATTTGTTCGATATTTCCGATACATGTACCCTGTTTGTCCGGATTATCTGTGACCTCTATAAATTTTGTTTATGATATGATGAATAACGTAAACCCCGTGCCTCCAGTACGCAAGGAAGAGTCTACTACTCCCCTCGCGATGGCCTGAGATGCTTTATACGCCGCACCGGATCTGCCAGCCCGGACGCCAAGAAACTGGAGGTGAAGGCCGAGCTGGTCCGTCGCCGCCATGCAAAGATATTGGAGGAGGCAAGTGGGATGAACAAGGACCTGCACGGCGCTCGCCGCAAGTTGCTGGAGGCTCAGGTGGCACTGGACGCTGAGCCGTCGTCGCACCCTTTGTTCGCCTTCCTCAAGGTCGAGCTGGAGAAGCTCCTCACGCTGACAACGTGGAAGGAGCTCCTCGCCTGCCTGCTGGCGTCCGTGAGGTCGCACCTTACCCAGCGCTACGCGGGGAGGCACGACGTCAGCGTCCGAATATTCGCCACGGAGCGCATGGACAGGTACATGGAGCAGGCAAGCAAGTTTGAGGAGGACCCCGACAAGCCGCCGCCATCGGTGGACGACGACGTCCAGGCGGAGGCAGAGATGGTCAAGAGGACATGGGTGCCGCAACGGTCACCGGAGCAACGGGGGACCTCGAGGATATAGGCGGGGTCGCGTGAGCGCAGCAGCTCCGGGTGGGCGTGGGCGACGGTCCTCGCGTGCACGGCGCTGGCCGTCGGAGTCATCCTGGCCGGCGTCGCGGTGTTCGCCGTGTACCTCCTCTACAGGCCCAGCATGCCGTACCTGGCGGTCTCCGACGCGCACCTGGAGCGGCTGGAGTACGGCCAGGACGGCGCCATAGACTACCTTCAGGCGTCCATCACCGTTATGGCCGTGAACAACAACTCCAAGACCGACGCCTCCTTCTCCAGCATGGACCTCGTCCTGGGGTTCCACGGCGCCGACGTGGCGCTCCTGCGGGCGCAGCCGTTCGTGGTGCCGCGAGAGAGCTCGCTGCCGCTGCCGTACCGTGTCGTGTCGGCGGGGCGGGCGCTGGATGCTGCCGGGATGCAGGCAATGGACGAGGCGCTCAAGGCCGGCGTGGTGCCGTTCGACCTGTTCGGCAAGGCGCGCACGCGGTGGAAGGTGGGAGTCTTTGCCAACCTCCGGTTTTGGATGCGCATCTCCTGCCGCCTCCGCTTCTTCTTCCCCGGTAACGGCACTGTCATGCCAACCGATCGGGACAAATGCCGCTCAAGGTAGCCATAACTGTTCAGTAGTGTCGTTGTTCCATATATCAACCCTTGCATGGTCTTGTATGGGTTTAGTATAATATAATTTTAGGTGGTATAATTCATTGAAATATGTAATTCAAGGATAAATTCATGTTGCATGGAACAAATTGCTTATATATTCAATGCCATCATTTCTCTATTGAGCATCCATAGCCTGATAGCCACAGTGGTGAAAGCTTATTGAGATCCTCAACTTTAGGAAACAAGAGGGAAGCATTTTTTTTTTTTTTTGCTACTACAGTCGATCCGTGCTCTAAACTAAACTAGGCAGGTCCAAATCATTTACTCATGAGCTTGCCACGCTACTACAGAACAGACAATCACCATCGGACCATCACTGCTAGTTATGCTGGAGCCAAACAGTGATTACACTTCGCTGCTAGGTTGTGAGGCTAAGATTCGGTTAATAATTGGGTTTAAACTGGTAGTGAAGGCAGATATCACTACCGGTTGAAGCAATATGGTCTTGAAGACGTGGAGACAACTCTTCGACATGGTCTTCCATTCATTGAACATTGTAAACAATTCCCTAATTTTGGAAGGAAATAGGTAATAATATCTTAATACCTACAAGTTCATCTGATGGGAGATAATTACATATTCCACATGACAACCATGTCAAGCCTTACATAGCGAGGCAAGCTTATGAATCACTATCTTTTCATAACAAGACAAGTGGATCCTATTGCTGCTTATTTATGTGGATGACGACTTCTGGACATGGTTAATTATTTGCATTTCAGCTGCCTATCATAACCATGCGACTGACATTGTTTTTTGTCGTTTAGTAACTCACAATTTTGGACTTAAGAAGATAGAAAAATTCGTCCGCATACACAGCAAATACAGAAACTTTGACAAAGAAAACTAGGAAGCTATCTGCCATGTAAAGAGTCGTTGTGATATCATTAACACGAGATGGCAGATCAGTGACTATTGAGGTCTCGTCCTCTGTCACCCTTATGTAGAAATATGCTGGGTGCTTAGGTTCTGGCAAGGTCATGCTTTCACTGCTTAGCATAGCAACCACATCTGACATGTTGGGTCGATCAGCTGCATTCTCTTGCACACACAGGCAGCAAGGCGACGTTAATATCCCTAATGTATGACACTCGACAGTTAATGATGTATCCACAATTTGAAGCCATTTTTCATCTTTCCACAACTGCCATGCCTGAATGGAGAATGGAGAATGTCGCATACTTAACAAATAAAGTTATGTGCATATAAAAAAAATACAGCTAGTGCTTTTGCACTCTCGTGAAAATACAGAAATCATGGAACAGTATATATGCTGGTGTAGTGAGTGGATGCCATTAACACATCTGTGTGGTTAAAAAGTTGTACCACTTTTGTTGAGCGACTAGAGAGAGAGAGAGAGAGAGAGAGAGAGAGAGAGATTACTTTTACACGTAGTATAATTAACTGGACATAGAAGACTCACATGTCCAAGAAGGTTGATGAAATCTCCATATCTATGAAGGCCTGATGATCTTTTTCCACTGACTATCTCAAGTGTTAGCACACCGAAGCTGAATACATCGGATTTCATTGAGAAGAGGCCCTCTGGTGCATACTCAGGAGACATATAACCACTGAAAAGATGGATGTAACAAACTTTGCTGAAATGTTCTGTAACAAAATAGCTTTCTAATATAATTCGAGTGAACAATTCGTAAGACATCTTACTATGTCCCAACGATTCTTTCCGTGTTTACTTCAGTATCATTTGTGCTAAAGATTTTTGCAAGCCTGGCCAAAATCTGAAATTTTAGGATTCATTTCATGGGCCAAGAGAATATCATTTGCTTTAAGATCTCTATGGATGGCACGTAACCGAGAGTGCCTATGCAAATACAGAAGTCCTTGTGCTATCCCATTTATTATTGCTAGGCGTCTGATCCAATACAGTAAAGCACTTCTTGTATCATTTGCAAATTAATAAAGAATAGATGTATCAGAAAAGAAGACTTAGCACTCAGAATTTATGTTATGGTTTTTTTTGGACTATTTCTCGATTTGTGCGTGCCATCCTTGCGTAGGGGCCATGCTAATCTTCTTTGTATTGTTCCAATTTTGTACCAAAAATATCTTCTCTTCATATTGAGAACAGCATCCCAGAAGCCTAGCTAGATTAGTGTGCTGGAGCTTGGCTATGAGTTGTACTTCATTTTTAAACTGGTTGAAACCTTGGCCTGAATGTGAAGCAAGTCTCTTTACTGCTATGTCTGATCCATCAGGAAACCAACCCTACAGAGAAGTTCAATCTTTTGCATCAGCGAGAAAAAGCACAATTTCATCAGATTGTAGACTATATATATTTATCATTATGGTTCCATGTTTCTGTCAAATTATGTGCACTCATAATGGTATGGCTACACAGTTACCTTGTATACATGACCAAAGCCACCTTGCCTGAGTTTGTTTTCTTCTGAGAAGTTATCTGTAGCCTCTAATACATGTAAAAAGTCATAAGTTGTGAATTATAAACTCCTTCCTTCTAGCGCCCAAACTATGGCTTCATCTTCCTTCACATTCATCTTATCCTTATCCTGAGACCCTTTACCAAAATTGAATGTTTCATGTGAGCCTTCCATTTAAAACCGATGCACATAGTAGTAGAACAAAATAAAATAGCAAATTTAGATAGTCTCTCTATGTAGATAGCAAACGTTTTTTATGCGCCTTCGTCTCATGAATATGTATGAAATGGTCAAGCCAATAAACGATGCAAGCAGTGGAACAACAACCTTGACCGTGTGCTCTTACAAGAAACAAGACAATCATTTTGAAAGTACACAAATGGTTCAATGATTAGAATGTTTGATCCATGCATATATTCAGTAAAACTACAGAATATTTCTGATGTCTCAGTTCCACTGCGGATTAGAAATATGCAAAGCTTTCAAACATGAGTAGGGGTGGGGAGCCGGTTTAATCGAACTGATCGATTAGGTTATCCACATGATACTGAATAAAATCACTGCTATCCTAATAGTATAGTACTGTATGGTGATCAGAGTATCCTATGATCTATAAATTTTAATGGTTGCCTGACATCAATACCTCACTGGATTTGGAAGAAGGAGAAACCAATGCTTTGAAGTTCCAATTGTATTTAAAGTTTTGACAACTCAAAAATTCGGTCTACAAAATTATAAAGTTTTCTAGTTGAAGCCAACATTGTTTATTAGAGTTAACATCGAAGTCCCCAACACAAATTCAGATCAATCTCAACAACAGAAATATGAAAGTCACTAATGTTGGAAGCTTTATGGATCAAGATGATATCTTTGATTACTAGCCATCTTGTTTAGAGTGAAAGTGTCATTTGCCATGTTTCCATGTTGATAGTAATATAAAGTGAAAACAATTCATGATCTCTAATAAGCATGTAAGATCAACGACCCTAGCACGTGCATGGTGTTATTGTGATCAATGTCATCGACAAAGTTTACAGGACGTCTATAATTTTCTCTAGTCTGCAATGGTTTAGGTCCTGTTTCGTAGAGCTCCGGGTGGCTCCGGCTCCTCCATACACTGTAGCAAGGAATAATTGGGGTGATTAGTCAGTGCCTAGTCAGTTAGTCAGACATTTAGCCATTCATGTGGTAAAAAAATGGACAGACAGCTATGTATATAGTAGATATATGCAAACATGACCATAAACTAGCAAATAGAAGAGGCAAAGACAGCAAGCAGTCAGACACAGTTCAAGATGTAATCCTATATGCAACGAATCAATGATCATGGTGGTTTTTTGACCTACTAAAGGTCAGCAAATTCTGCCCATAATAAAAATTTCTTGGGCTAGCCTAACTAGTCGTCTAGATTGATTGATGAGATGATTAGTCATGATTAGTTGTGCATTAATTGGATGACTAGTTTTGTAGTCAAGTTAATTGTATTCAGGGGTCTTATGGAGTCCCATGTTGCGACAAAGATGACTAATCATGACTAACCACAAGTCATCGGACCTAATAACATTGCCTCAAATGATTGCTGAAGAAAAAGACACAATGAGTGTTTCAAGCTTAGGGCTAGAAAGATCTGAACTAATTGCTGAGTGTTGATATTTCTCATGTCTAGTATGCATGGATGAACATGCAACAACATTTGTATGCATCTGATCACAGCAGGAGCACATTTTGAGATTGGTAGGTGTATAAAAGGGTTTTTAGTTGAGACCACTAGTGTTCCAACTTTATACAATGTCAAGATTAACATTGTTGAGACAGAAATTTGAGATGTTGGAGGAAACCGAGAAGAATGTGGGGAATTCCTCAGAAAAATTTGCGTTGTTTGGTTCTCCATATGTATACTGTCATGAGTTCTGCCATCATTGACCTGTGGAGAAGCAAAGCCTTTCGAAACGGATTTGTGTTTTGCCACTGATATAAAATGGAAGTCCTTGGAGGTCATTGCTGAGCAGATTCGTGATGGTAGCACTACTCTTTTTTTCAACTTGATTCGTAGTTTGAGTTGTCTACGCTATTGTTGAGCATGTTCATGATGGTAGCACTAGTCATGTCTTCTTGATTCATAGTTTTAGTTTTGCTTGATTTTAGTTTCCTGGTTTTAATGTAAAAGTACCCATTCTTTCTATAGGCTTAACACAAAACTTGAACTCAATCTCAACAACCAATGAAGTGTTGGTGTTCAGGAAAGATAAATAATAAGTTCTGTATTTTACATTTACAAACTAAATGAGTTGTTGGGACGATATTAAATACTCCCTCCGTACCATAATAAATATGTTTTTGAAAATTTTAAGAAGATTAAGGATGTTGGCAAATGACGCATGTATCCTCGTCTCCTTTCCCTTCCCGAAGGGTATCTCGTGGATTTGACAGTTATCGTTGGCATGCGCCATGATTAGCTTCCACATTAAGAGACAATGTTCCACATTTGTGTACAACATTATTTATTTTGGAATAAATTTTGAACTTTAGAAAATTTTCTATTTGG